TTATGGCACTTTGCACATGTACATGTTCCATCATGTGAGCCGCCCTTTTGGCAGGCAGCAAGTTCAAGAAGTCCTGGGGAGATGCAAAGGACAAGCTGGTGGATGGTTTGCTCTTCTACCTCAAGGCGCAGTGGAGTTGGATGATGCCTGTCATGTAGCTTTTCTCAGCCTCGCCCTACTCTCCAACACAGCATATTTTACTTGGCCCCCATTTCAAGGCATTGCAAATTGTTGGTGGAGAGTCCACGTTGCTTTGTTTTATGGCATGGATCGATTTGTTGGTACGAGCAGGATAACCAAGTAGTAGCAAACACAAGAAGACACACACTATCCAAAGGGATGTGGCAAACTATGAAGGTCGTGAGTCCTGCCTTCCAAAGCACAATTCTTTGACCCAGAGGAGTGCGCATCATTTGGCAAGGGGGGTAGTTGACTTCCCATAGCCGCGCCAAGAAAGGCACTCCCTCTCGTTCTCCCCCAAATACGGATTGTTGGTGAGAAGGTCCTTTTGGCTACCAAGATGCATGGTTTTTGTTTAACCAATGCCGTATTTTCTCTCCCTCTCAGGAGGTGGAGGCCAAGACAGCTTCATGAGGGCGCCTTGGCACCCCCGCATCACTTGTGCAATGGCAGCATCCTTGAAGGGGCTTTGACAAGACCCTGAAGTGAATCTGCTCCTTTGGGTGGAACTCGTAGGCTTGTCAGGATTGACCTCACGCAAGTTTGCCTCTGTTCAACGCTAGGTTTGGCCTCAATGCCTGGGCCAAGGACTCGAGGATTCACGATCGCATGACAAGCTGCATGCCGCTTCCACTCCACCAGTGAGTTGATTTTCTCGGTCTGATACAAAATGCCTCTACATTGGCTCTGATGGCTTTAAACTTTAAACAAAAGCATAGTGCGCACCTGACAGACTGACAGATGCTTCTGCTTGCTCGTGTTAAAATCAATGACTTGTGCATGAGGAGGTGCTTTGACTCAGACGTCGTTGAACAGCATTGCTGCAGCTTGGAGAGCTTGCGTTCCCAACATGTTGGCCTTACAACTAACCAATGAAGCTGCAGTCTTTCCAGGCGAGTCAAGCTAGACCGTGTTTTAACGAATGCAACACGGAGCCCATTTTTGCGACGTGCAGCCCACGGTCCTGCAATCGGGTAACCGTGCAGCAGGGCATGGTAAAGGGCTTGCGCTTATGTTCCAGGTAGGTAGGACTTCGAAGGCAAGGTGTGGATGTGCTGCGCTGCACTGTGAGCTTTGGGGTTGCGCCAGCATGGCTCCAAATTTCAGAATCCCTACCCGACACGCCTTATATGTCTCGACAATGCTTGGCGCAGCAACACTCACGGGCAAGTATGCCCGTTTCGTTTTCCTTGCAAGTTCGTGCGCAGATTCGTAGCGCGGCAAAAGACTGTGCAGAATTGATCGTTAAGGAAAATGTTCATGAGAGGTTTCCGCTCTTTCTGTCAAAGAGCTCCTTCAAAGGTCTCTGGCTTGGATGCACCTGCAGCACCTGACCGTCGTCAAATAGATGGATTACAAACAATCTAAAGAGAGTGCTGCTGGGGCTAAGAACCTTTGATGTGCATAGATGACAGTTGTGCATTCGAGTCTCAATGGCTCATGCACAGGGCAGTGCGAAGATAGTACATACACTGCCGCTGCTCCATGGAATGCGGAAGGAACACATACACCGCCCTACATGAGGTTCTATTTCTAAGCAATCTTCAAGCTGGGGCAGCGAGGACAAAGTCTGTTCAAGGTACAGAGTGACTGAGCCATCAGGCCAAGTGGCTGGCATAAAGGTTCTGCTTCTTCAGTGTGTTGATGGCTTTACAAGCAAAGAGGAGCACGCACTCTAACATGCAGACTGAGGAAGCATGCCATGAAGAGGGAGATCACAGGCCAGTCAAGCCTCCTGAGGAATAAATTGAAGCACGCTTTGGCGTGAATAGGGTGTGGGGAGTGCATTGCAGGAGAGCAGTGCACTTTCTGGTTTGAGCTCCGAAGCAAAGTTCACTTGCACACCAATGTTGATGCAAGCCCCGCCCTTCGCACGCAAAACGCAAATGCATGTGCCGTCGATGAATCCGAACATGTCTCGCTCATCCGTGCAGGTCTGGATTTGGCAGACCCGTTGGTGTAAACCAACGGCGTTGCAACTCTGTGTGACTGTGGACAATCCTCAGTCTTTCCGACCGGCCCTTTCCAGGGTGGATGGGTTGATTGATGCATCCGCCCAGACATCAGACGCCTCAAGGTGCTCGGTCCTGGCGATCCAGTTAGCCGGGCCCATCTTCCACTGGGCCAGACCAGAGCCGAACAATGTGCCTGAGAGAGTGAAATAGTTGCCGCGCCCGGGATGGACGCCTGCTTCATGGTTTGAAACTCGACTCATCCTTTTGAGAACCAGCACAGCTGAGGAACATGCCAGGAGCCCGTTTTTTTGTTTTCAACAGCCCTTTAGTTCCGTAGAAGGAGCATCACCCTGTGAGTCAGCCAGGGGAGTTCTACTTCTCCTTGGATTCGCACCGGGGCGAGTGCACCTTGAAGCCCCGGGCTCGGAGCGCTGTGACGCTCAACCCGGTCTTCAACTGTAAAGCTCGTAAAGTGGGAGGGATTGTACGGTCATGGAATGTTTAGCTACCCCCCCCCCCCCGGAAGTTAATTTGACTGAGGTAAAACAAGCCAACAACGGACCTTGCCAAGCAGACGCTTTCCATCGTTCAAGCGGCCCAACGCCACTCCCTGGGACCCCACATGGTAGCAGAATGCAAATACTTGGGATTGCGCTGGCGTGTGGTAAGAGCATTTTCTGCACAGCTCACTACTCACCACTGATTGACGCTCACTTTCCCCCACAAAAAAATACAAACTATGTCAAAGGAAGGGCCAAACCCTGCCTAAAGTCAAACAGAAAGCAAACCATAAGGCCACCTGATTTCAACATTTGCAATCGAGCCAACATAAGGCTCAAATAAGAGAATTGAAATAAGTCCAAAGTAAGGCCAAAATAAGGCCAAAATAAGGTCCAAATAAGGCCCAAATAAGGCCGAAATAAGGGCAACTCCCAACAGCATTTGAATATTTTTAGAAACACACAAACTCAGTCACGACATGTGCAGCACCCACTCCAGCTGACTTCAATCGAATCAAGTTCTCACAAATAAAAACAACAGGAGGAAATTGTCTAGCGGAGCCTTTCGTGTTGCAACAATATTTTTGTCCTTCTGTTGGCCTGCCTGAGAAATCTTCAAATGCCGTCAGGGGTTGCCCATTTCGGCAATATTTGGGCCTTGTTTGGACCTTATTTTGGCCTTATTTCAGAAATCTTCAAATGCCGTTGGGGGTTGCCCTTATTTGGGCCTTATTTGGACCTTATTTGGGGCTTATTTTGGCCTTATTTCGAAACTATGTCTTGTTTGGCACCCAGACGAGTCCGGAACCCATCATCCCGTGACATTGACACCTCAGCGGACCTCAGCCCAAAATACGACCAAACTCGTGGTGACGAAAAAGGTTGAAGCACTAGCCCCTATTTTGCCCTTATTCTGCTAACATAAAAACAATGGCTTATTAAGACCCTAATAAGGCCTTAATAAGGGCTATCCCTAATTCCAGGAGGGGGGGTAGTCAGCTAGGGGGTGCTTTAACATTCCATGATACGGAAGGGCCATCCACAGTTTCTTTTTCCATTTCGAACCATGACAGGCAAGCCATGCAATGCGCGGCAGTTCTGGAAGTTGGTTGAATACATGAAACACAATCAGACACGACCGCTGCAGATTTGTGGTCACGTTCAGCAACTTCAAGATCAAGGATGATGTATTTTCACCAAAGGCCGGCTGAAGACTGGGGCAGAGGTCTTGAAGTTGTGGGCTCTTCTTCGATATTTATGAAGCCAGACATGCTCAATATAGTGTCGCTCTTTCTTTCAGAGTTGAAAGGATGCCTTGCTCCTAACTTGTTGGATCCTCTTGTTGCAAGGGACAGCCCGCTTGAAACTCAGACCTGGCTGTGCAGCGAGGCACGGGCACGTCGCGGCTGGGAGGCGGGAGTCCTCGACGGCCGCATCTCAGCTGTGGCGCCATGTCAGCCACGCAGGCGAGGCTGGCGGAAGTGACCAAAACTCCTCAGAGCCGCGCCGCCCGCTAAGATCAATCTTTAGATTCTGAAGCACTTGCCACAAGTCTTCACCCCTGATGAGAAAGTGGCAACACATATGAGTGTCTTTGATTTGTCAACACACTGGTAGTGCGGGTGCTGAGGAAGAGTTCGAAGAGCGGCTGCAAGCGATGCAGAGCAAACGTCGGCAAAAGCCCTGCCCTTGTGGCCGACACTGCTTTGTGCTGGTGTTTGTCTGTCATCTGAGTTATCTATCATCCTTATAAGTATGCTTGCAATCCCTACGTCAATTGGGTACCCGCGGAGAGGTCGTAGGTCCATGGCGCCGAGGATTGAAGAAATCAGCCGTGGCCAGAACTTCCTTGAGGCCAACCAGCTGAGGCCGGGCGGCCGTGCCTGTCGGGACTGGGTGCATGATGGACTGCAGGCTGGCCTGTGAGACCTCGCCTCAACGGCACGTGCAGCTGCAGAAGCGCGCCCGGATGCCTAGCATGCCAAAGGTGCCTAGGGTGCGGAACTTCCTTTGTGCAGCTCTCTAGCTTTGCTCCGCTTGCGCAGGCTTTGCTTGCCTGCCACCGGCGAGATGTTGCCTTCCTTCGGCGGGAACGCTTGGAAGAGGAGTGCCGGAGTGCGCACTTTCAAGCCACAGCCATCGCTCTCAGTGGAAGCAATCTGAGCCCGGGTTGGGGCAGGGCCTGTTGCAGAAGCGTTGCACCAGGAGAAGGAGGAGCGCCATGCGTGGCACCCAGTCTTCGGTTTAGGTTGTCGGCCCCCGTTTGAAGCGGCACAGCGCACACCTGCAAAAGCAAGTTACGTTTGTACTTCGGTTTGAGGGGTCGCAGGTTCAGTGGATGAGCCGAGCAGAGAACAAGCGCCGTGAACGCGAGCAGCAGGCCAGGCGCTGAAAGGGGTTAGGGCTATTGTCCAATGAGCTTCCAGTTGTTCAGGGAAGGGCCCCCACAACTTGCCTGGAACAAGGCACTTGGTTTAGAGAGAAGGCGCTTGGCTCAGGAACTGCAACAGTCCCTGCAGCTCGAGATGCAGATGCGCCAGCAGTCCTGGCTCACAAAGATCTTCACGGCGGGGCGCTTTGTGCGAATTCGGACTTCGGAGCCAGTGCGCGGTACCGGGTTTTGTTGGGGTCTAGCTGCAATGCAAGAGCGCCACGATTGCGTGCATTCGATACAATTGTTGAAGAACTGCTTATTGGCACTTGCCAGTGCCAAGGCATCCTTTGTGAAGACCGTGGCCGGGCAATTCCAGGCCTCGGGGTCCGAAAAAGTCCTTGCAGGCAGCTAGTCGCTTTGGCTTGGCTTGGGAAGTTCTCACGTCACGCCTCTGTGGCAGGGAGCCGCATCCCTGGCTTGACATGCATAGCACCCCAAAGCTTCTCCAGTTCAGTTGTGGCCCAACTCAACACAGTTTGTGTTCTGATTCGCAAGTAGAGAGCAAACGTATCAGTTGCTCACTTCTCCGCAATCTGTCAGTCCCTGAGAGGTTTTCGAGCGAAGCTCTGACGGTGCACAGCTTGTCGGGTACTTTTTTTGAGGGCCCCCTTTGGGGCTTGTTCAAAGAGAGACCAAAAACAAGGGCTTCCCCCATACCAGCTGTGCGCCTCTATTTTGAAGCATCCAACGCCCCAGGAGCGGCGGACAGAGCTGGAGAAACTGAGAAGGGAGTTTGCATCTGCCACAGTGCTGGATAGCCACGTGGCTGAGAACTCTGATGGACTCATGTTGCTGATTGTTGTATGAATTTGGATGCAACTCAAGATACCATTTTACGGGGAGCCCAGGAAGGCTTGCAGATGGGATCGCCGAGGTCTCTTCAGGCGCACGCTGGTGAGGAAGCGCCATAGACTCAGTGAAGAGGAAGTCGTTGAAGGGTCAATTTCCAGCTCAGCTGCTTTGCTCTGAAGCAGTGCTTGTCAAGCTGTCCAAAGTTTGTTGCCCTTGTTGGACCCCCCTTATATATAAGGCGGAGCTAAATGTCACCAGGTTTCAACAACGGGCCTCCACTTCTGGCAACCTGCCATATGCGTCCACCCTGGCTCAAGCGTTTGCCGTGCCTCAAGCTACCCTCGGATCTTAAGCCCTGCACGGCATGGGTGTTCAGCCTCTTCCTCTTCCCAGTGGCTGCCCAGCTATATGAGGAGCCGGGGAGTGCAGTTCCCACGCCAGCTGCGGAGAGCAATTGCTTTCAAGACAATTTGGCCGACAAATGCTCAATGGCTCCTCGGACGCAGTTTGCACGAAGACTTTGGGCCAGTATGTGAACAAGCCACGCACTTGGGCTGCCAGCCAGCATGATGGTGTCACCGGTGATCAATAACTGCGATTTGGGCCATCCGCAACTTCCACTGGCACGACAGTTCGGATGAGCAGAGCTACATGGTTCAAGGTGTGATGCAGGTGATTTTGACCGCTCCCACTGCTGTGCCTTGGCAGTCTGCAGTCAACACCATTGGCCCCGGTGGATGGCGCCAACACTGGCACCTTCTTCACAAGATTGATCTTGCCAAGTTAAATTGGCTGCCAGAAGACAATGCGCAGCTGGTTGCAGTGAACCGCAGTGATGTGGAAGTTGAGGATACGACTCCGGGCTTGGGAAAGGGAATTCGAGTCTGGACCATTCGAACGGCTCAGCTCCCCTTTGCCACTAGGATGTCTCAACCACGCAGCGTTTTCCAGCCTGGTGGATTCCGACACTATGTTTGGATCACCAGGCGGCATCAGTGGGTTTGAGCTCCAAGACGTGGCAAACAAGTTGGACTATGCTTTCTAAATCCCCATCCGCGGGGCTAGATTGAAGCCACTGGAACGGAGCCGGCAGTTGTCGTGTTCGAAGTCGGCCACGTCGGCCACTGGAAGGCCCTGGAAGCCAAGACGAGGTTCGGCTGTGGAAACCCTCCCCGCTTCGGGAGGAATTGAGTGCCCATCACCGGACTTGATCCAACAGGGAAAGCGCCAAACGAACTTGCGCCGTCGCGACCCTTCTGATGCTCAGTCCTTCATGCAGCGGCCGCAGTCTTCAGAGGACCCTGAACTTTGTTTCTGAAATGGATGGTGTACCACAAAAGTTCTGGCGCTGATCGCGCGACTGTGGTCTTCAGATTTGACGCGCTGGCATTTCTTTGCCAATGTGCAGAGACGGTGCAACACGCATCTACACAGCTAGATCAGCTAGAGCCGTTCAAATACCTGAAGCGAAAAACAAGTAGCCAACGTAGGCTTTAAAAACAATCGGGTGGGCTCTGAAGATTCCTTGGTCACTTGCTGAGGCCGGAACATGATCTGGAGGATTGGGAGTGCTATGCTTCTTGGAAATGCATTGCATGGGGACTAGTCTCAGACATATAGGCTATTTGCATTTTGGACCTGGATCAGCGGCAGCACTGGTACAATTTTGGCGCTGTGATCCAATGGTTGGGTCGAGGACTTTGGAGACAGAGGGGGTTGTGGGACAGGAATGCCATCAAGCTCCGCATGGCTATGACTGTCTATGCCCGGACAGTCCTGCCAATGGCCTCAGCCCCAGCTGGACAGAAGTGTGCATGGAGTCACCATGAGAGCGATGGCACAGCTTCATTAAACTGTTGGTTTCTCAATGCAGAAGACTGTCAATTTCAAGGTCAAAGCACTCTCTGCGCCCCTCATTACGGACTTCCTCACGAAGAATTCCTTCAGCAAGGCCAGGAGTGAGCAGCGCCCGCCTTTAATGAGTAGGATTCTTGGAACCAGATTGTTTGAGCGCTGCTGAAGTAGTTTTTGGTACGGTAGGGGCTCTGTGCAAGAGGGGGTTCGCGGCCAACCTGCACGGAGGAAGCACCCAGTATCCATTCCGTCTTCTCTCACTACCGGGCTAGCGTGGCCGCAGCCCTATCAGGTGCTCACTCCGCTTTTGTAAGGTTCATGCAGGGAGCTTTGGGAGATAATTGGCCCAGATGATTCTGGGCCAACAATGTGGATAAGCAAGCCGTTTCAACCGTACTATCTTAGCCTGTGCCAATAAACACAACTTGCCAGGGATGCTGAATCTTCCCAGTCCCCCGCCCAAAACAAAAATGATGAAAGACGAAACAATAAATCGGGTCCTCTTGCAGAGTCCTTGGTTTCCCTGCTGATTTGGCTAACAGCTTGGATCGCTTGCATGTTGTATGCAGCACTCGCAAAGTGCGAGCAAAGTCAGCGCATTTTAGGACGTGACATATCTTAGAAGCAGCATTGGCAAATTGGTGTTAGCGTGCCGTACCCATCCCAGACTCCACTCACTTCACGAACTACATCTCTGACATCTCTCTTCTGACAGACGAGTCGACTCGTTGACTTGCAGGCTTGTACAATCCACTCAGAGATTTGGCGCCATGGCATTGCCTCTAGGCTTCACTCCTTTGGAGGCGCGGCGAACAGGATATGGGAAATGGGTAGTTTGTAACACGGCTCGTGGTCGTTCCTACAAGCCCTGCGCCGGCTTGTCATTACGCCTTGTGCACCTGTCGCCTCTACATAGAGTTGACAGGTACGCGTTTTGCTGGGCTGTCGCAATGGTGATGACTGTGCAGGTCCGCACGTACTTGATCCTGACTGTATGCTGGATCAGCAGCTTGACTCAACAATGAACAACCATTCGCCCCAAGCTTCATTCTGCGCAAAGGTGGAGTTTCTACTTGAAGTCACTAATTAGCAGTCACGAGTTGTTGCTTGTCTTTGAGTGGTCGTTTGCGGGGCTGAGCCTGTACTTAATCCAGGCTGCAGGCGTGTCGTTGATCCATGTTGATCCAAGATCAGTTCTCAGGCATCGTGGTGGTGAACATGCTGGAACAACCCTATGCCAGATCACTGGTGGTTTGCGATGTGCCTGTCAACACGACGGAAGGCGCTGGAAACTGATCTCAGTAGGGATCTTCAAACAATCGCTCGCAATTCAATTCAGTCTGGAAGAGGTGAGGGTCCTTTGCGCAGCTTGCATGATAAAATATTTGGAGAGGCAAATTGTCGGACTCCTGGTTTGTTCTCGTATCAGATCGATGTTGGACAGGTGCGGACTTTTCCGGATCCACATTCTGCGGGAATCGTCTGCATGTCATCGATGTGGGCACGGAGATCTCAGGCAAGGGTCAGAGCCTAGAGAACGCAGCTCGCCAGATTCAGGTGTTTGCATATCATAACGCTGCTTATGCTGAATGAGTCTAACTTCTAATTGGCGCCTGCGCCTTGCCCATCAACATATGACTTTTTCCCATCTAGCGACCAGCAAAGTCCTGAGATTGCTTGGCCGCTGCATGCTTCAACTGTTTAACATGATCCAAGGTGGGGAGGATTTTAATTACCCTGCGTCTTGACGGCACATGGGGTGGGCCATGATGTGCAAAGCAGCAGAGTGGCAGCGAGACGATGTAAGATGCTGCCAATATGATTGGTGGCCATCTCTTGGCACCGCAGCCCTCAATCAGAATCAACCGAGCCTGAGAGCACTGATGCCACCCTGCATGCTGAGATTTGTCAGCGGCTTTGCGGACTATGGCCGCAAACGCGCAGCCTTGCTGGGGCAGCTCCTTGTACGCAAGTGGGGACCAACTGTGACGTGACTGGATTGATTCTGAATGGCTCATGTGAACAACGTGTTGTGGAAGCAAAGCCAGTTACCTTGCCTTCTTCGCATGCTTGACTTCTTCGCATGCTTGACGTTGCCAACAAACCACAATTTCCTTTGTCGAGCCTTCAGCACTTATTGGCGGCTTGTGGCAGCGTGTGGCAGCTTTCACGGCTTTCGCTATCCGCGAAGCAAGCATCCCTAAGCCCCACCCCCAACCCGACCCACGCCACCGTACAACCCACCTTAAACCCAAGCTACTCGAAGCCCACCCTGAGGCAACCCCTAAGCCTGGCCCCAACTCACCTTGAAACAACCTAAACTCACCCTCACCAACTGTAAGTCAACCCTAAACACACTCCAAGCCTGCCCTGCCGACCCAAAGCCAATCGCTCCACCCACCAAGTCCAGCCTAAGCCCAACCCTAAATCAATCCACCTTTGATCGATTAAAGCAGCAAATAATGAAAACATCAACAACAAAATAAACATGAAAGGGTCAAACTATGAATGCGTCAAAGCATCAACGCATCAAACATCGAACCATGAACAATTCGCAACATCAAGCAAGTACTAGTAGGGCCCGATAAGATGAGAACAGCAAAGTTGTGCTTGCGCAAAAGTCTTTGCGTTACCACGAAGCTCAGGTTTCTGATCACTCTCTCCACGGTGCTATTTGCAATGGCCCAGTTCTTGCCAGCAGGTGCGGTGTAGCGACTGAAGGCCTTGAGTCTCCTTGAGTCTCCTTGAGTCCTTGAGCATCCAAGACTTCCACTCGCACCCTTTGCCCAGTCACTGGCAGTCCCATTGGAATAGGTGGAAGGAAAGCGACCCGCAGTTCCTACTCCAAGCCTTGAGCAGACATGGCCTCCAGTGGCAAACCAAATGAACGAGGGCCCCAGTGCCAAAGCCAAAGCTGCAGGCCTTGCCATTCCCACCTACATCATTGCCCAGGGCCTGCAAGGCATGAGCGGCATTGGCATTCTGGACCAGCGCCTTGGGCCCGACTTAATTGAATGTTGGCCTTGCTTGAATGGAAGAATTCACGCACGGGAGAAGCGCTCGTTAAAACTTACAGCCTCACCCTTGGGTAAGACAACCTCTCGCAAGAATGTTGCTTGAGATCCATGTTTGACATGTTTGACTCTGTTTGACCTTTGCCATGTTGACCGGCAAGTGGCCCCATGTGGGCCCATTCCCTCCACGAGTTGCAAGGATTGTGACGGGTGACGTGGCCCTGCAGTTGGGCGACAGCATCGGGGTCTACAGCCGCAAGGGCATCGTCTCTGCGCTGCTTATGGTTCGTCGCTGGGATAGAAAGACATGAGAGATGCAGAGATATGTCTTCGGTTTAGTGAAACCCCACAGGCAAGTGTCAGAAATCTTTAGGGACTATATATTGAACCCCCAAAAGCGATAACTTCCCGTTCGAAATCGCCCAAAGTAGTCTTAGGCTTTGTCGCTCAATCACATCTAAAACGAGAATGCAAGAACAGAAGCTGGCCAACCTTATGTTGACAGCCATTTGGCGATCTTACTTTTTGCGAGTGATGGAACTTGACTGTGACATGTGGGAATCAGAAGTGCGGTAGACACAAGCGACAGGAGTCAGGTTACGCGATTCTCTTTCCGGGAACGCGAGCATCGTTTTGCAGTGGCCAAGTTCTGGTCCCCATCATCGTGTACGTGCAGTACGCGGAGATTACCGATTTTACTTGGGCATCTGGGCTAATAGTGAGAAGCCAGCATGTGCGACTACCCCTGAGTGTCCAGACCTGACGGCTTCACATTTGGCAAGGATTTGACATCTGATGTTGTCTTCTCAATTTGCTCATCGCTGCTGAACTCGGCTGCTTTGTTGGTGCATGCGCATTGAAAACCGAGGTTTGGACGGGCATTGTCGTCTTGAATACCATTGCCTTGTTTCTCATTCACTTCTTCTTCACTGAGACAATGACTGTGACCCCAAAGAAGGTCGAGGAGTCGCAGTCGCATGAGCTGTCTTTCAAGGGCAGGGGCCCTACGAAAATTGCGAAATAGGATGCGTCATTTCGCAGCTAAACTGACTTGACCGAGAAAACCAGAGCAACACATGTTGCATTTCGGAGGCTTCAGGGAGAAACTGATTAAATTCACCAGGCATCACAAAGATTGCTGCGGATGAGTTGAAGACCTTCCACAGCATCATCAAAACGAATCTTGGCGGCAGACGTAGCAATCCGAGAGGGCTCAGGTGTTTGTGGGTGCACATTTGTTCATTAGCAGTGTTTCAGCTAAATGGTTCAGCAGATGTCTAAGCAATCAAGGCATGCCAGCACGGATTTCAGGCCCTGACCCAGATACCCCTTAGCCCTTTGCTCCTTCGGGGCGCAACTTCGTTCGGGACTTTCTTGCAGCCCTGGCAGGCATAGCTATGTGGGCTATCGTCTCGGCGAGGAGACTCTGAACAAGCTTTCGGATGCGGGGGTTATTGGCATGCCCTTTATGATGGCTCAGCCGGGAGTCCAAGCATGGCACACGGAAGCCACATTCAACGGTAAGACGATGCAGAGCATTTGCTGACGAGTTGGATCTACTCTACTTGTAGCACTGGGAGGAAAGAAGCCCGGCCTCATTTGCTTAATCCAATTCTTGGGTTGGAATATGCACGTCCAATTCTTGGGTTGTAGAGCGCCACGCACGCCGAACGTGGCGTTGCACGGAGCCGCCTCAACCGGAGGTTTCATTTCTCCCAGTTCGATGCCTTCATCTTCAATTTTGTGCCCATGCTCGTGGGCGGAGTGCTTTTGGGCGGGGTGGTCGCAAATCTGTGTGGCTGGGCAGCAATTGGATGCCGTGCTTCAACCTGAATCCAGCTCTGTTTCTCAAGTAGACAGGCTTTGCTTCCTGCAGGCTGAACTATCATTGTCCCACCTCGTAAGGTCCACTCAAGGAAAGCATTACTTCTATTTGCTCCCTTTTAGGATATTCTTTTTGGGCCTCGGTGGCATACCAAGAGGGATATCAAATTCTGCAAGCACCTATAGCTTGGAAGGTCTGAGGCAGGCGAAGCCTCAGGCCGCAAGCATGGCAGCAGAACTGTGTGGAAGAACGTCTACGCCTACCACAGGCTGGACAATTGCAGATACACAGAGAATTCAGGCTGCGCGCTGATACATTTTGATGTCTGTTCTTCTTAGGCGACATTCTTCAAACGTAGTAATAAAGGGTTCGTGGATTGCCTATCACGAAATTCATGTCCACATCAGGTACTTTCACTGCAGGGTACTGACAGCAGC